AATTATTTTTACCTGGTGTGAAACTATCTTCTACCATGGCTAGAAGGAGTTTTAAAACAGTGAAGGCATTGGATTTGGTGCTCAATAAATACGTCCATGTCCCCCTACTAAAGTCATCAACAATGGTAAGAAAATACTTAAAACCATCATAGGTACAATTTTTATAGGGACCCCAAGTGTCAACATGAATCAACTCAAACACATGCTTAGTAGAAATGGAACTTGAAGGAAAAGGAAGCTTAGCTTGTCTTGCCATAGGACAAATAACACAAGGAGTAGTAAATTTAGAACAGGAAGGAATAGTTGAACATGAAATATTCTTCATATGATTTAAAGGCATGTGGCCTAACCTATAATGCCACAGCTTTTCTTTTACATTAGGATCAGAAAAAGTAAAACAGGAATTGGAAATAGCACTAGGCTTTGATTTCTTGCTAGAAACTAGACTATTAGTAGAATTGGAAAAACTCTTGGAAACTTCTGCAGGCTGCCTTGAGTGAAGAAAATAGAGACCTCCATTCTCCTTACCAATCTCCAGAGGGCTCTTCAGTGAAGGGCCCTGCAGTAGAACACAAGAAAAAGGAGTGAAAAGAATATACTTCTGAAGCTGTCTGCAAAGCTTGTGTACAGACAGGAGATTAAATCTGAAAGAAGGTATATATAATACATTCTGTAAAACCAAATTAGGTAGAAGAGTGACTGAACCAAAATGAGTGACTCTAACTCTACAAGAATTAGGCAGATTGACCATTAAAGGCTTAGGCAAGGTTCTAAAATTTGAAAAGAAACTTTTATTGAAAGTCATATGCTCAGTAGCTCCACTGTCTATTATCCATGACTCATTATCTATATTCATGAAACAAGCATAAGAGTTGAAAAATTTAGAGATACCAGCACAATTCACACTGGCAGAAGCATCAGATGTTCCTGCAGATTGCTGATTGAGCTTCACTTGTTGCAGCAACTGAAGCAGCTGTGTCACATTCTCCTGAGTAAGTGCATTGATCTCTGAAACATTTTCAGCTCCTTTGCCACCCTCTTCTTCCATGGTAAAAGCATTGTTTGCCTGTGGAATTCCTTGGTTTTTTCTCTGTTTAGTAAACTTGAAATCTGTTGGAAAACCATGAATCCTATAGCATTTATCAATTGTATGCCCAGGCTTCTTACAGTAGGAACAAATACTGGTGTTCTTCCTTGCATCAAAACCTGTCTTTTGTGTTTTATAATCATTGATTCTCCTTCCTCCTGTTCCCTGATTAGCAGCAATGAAAGAGGCTGTTTCTCCTGGGTAAGCAGGAGTGGCATGTATTTCCCTCTGTTTTTCATCCTGAATAACTAGGGAATAAGCATGTCCAATAGAGGGTAAGGGAGATGACAACAGGATGTTGCTTCTGACCCCAAAGAAGGTGTCATTTAGTCCCATTAAAAATTGTAATAATCTCTCATCCTGATGAGCCTTCAAACTCTTAGCCTTAGCACCACAATCACAGTCACAAATGCAAGCAGAGAAGGTGTTGAGTGCATCTAGTTCATCCCATAGGCTTTTTATCTTAGTGAAATAACTTGATACACTGGAGTTACCTTGAGTTACAGCACTTAATTCCTTTTGCAATTGAAATAGCTTGGCACCATTTGTCTGACCAAATCGGTCTTCTAGGTCACTCCACAGGTCCTTTGCACTTTGGGAATATAGAACACTTTCAGCTATTTCTTTGGAAAGGGAATTGAGCAGCCAAGAGAGCACCATATCATTACATCTAGCCCATGCTCTTTGGTGTCCAGAATCTGCCTCAGGAACAGCCAAAGATCCATCGATGAAGCCCAGCTTGTTTTTTTTGCTGAGAGAGCAATCACCACTGCCCTTCTCCATCCTCCATAAGCTCTTCCATCAAAGGGTGAGGAAACAAGATTCATCCCTGGATAATCAGAAGGATGAAGATAGTAAGGATGTGCTGAATCCACTATTCCAGCTCCTACAGGTGCTGCAACTGTAGCAGCATTAGAAGTGATGGAAGCTGAGGGAAGGACCTCAGTAGGATCAACAGGAGTACCCATGGTAGAGAAGAAAATAGAGAAGAAAATCGATTGAATTTGAGCAGATTAAACCTGCTCTGATACCATGTAAAAATAGAGAATATTTGATAAAATTTTCTGTGTATTGATGATGATGATCGCTGTGTACAGTGCATGTGTTTATATACAAGCTAAATGGAATCTAAGAAAATAACCACCTATACATGTGTCACTATTCTATTTGTATATCTGTAACTAACATATACAAAAATAAAGAATAAAAAATAACAGCTGTACAATATTCTCTTCTAGAAGCTTCAGTCTTTATTGTTGAATAGGCCCAACTCTGTATAAAGATAAGAAGCCCAATTATGTAGATAGGGAGCCCAAATGATAGAGACCCAAAACAAAATGGACCGGGTTCTTTACCATTAAAAGAGTTTGGTTCTTCAGACCAAAACTCAGACTTAGGAGACATCGTTAGGGTTTCTCTGTAACCATCTGTAAACATCGACTTACACCATTTTCCAGTCCAACACCGAAGGACTTCATTAAAGTAAATGAAAAGAATAATTTGGTAATGTCTATAGTCTAGCTAACGGGCAAATTCGATGGTCAAGAAGGATTACGTTTTCGGATCTGCAAAGGGCTAAGATTCTCTAATGTCAATTTCTTTATTGTAAATAAGGTTTGTTAGAATGTCATATTATGATTAATAATTCAGATTCGAATCTTCGAATACATGATCTCATTAGATCGTTAGTTTATGTTTTCAATTATTATTTACAATTGTTTCAATTATAAGTGGTGTAGGATAGATTTAATTGCAACTACAACCCTAATTCATATGTGGTCAATTCATTGATTTCGTCTACACTAACAACAACATGATCAATTTCTTCAATAATAATGCAAAGAAGAAAAAGAAAGACCATATCAAATAAAGGTTACAAACTTAAACTTATTCCTGGAATAAAAAGGAGCAAATGCAGCAGAATGTTTACTACGTACATTCATATAGTCAAATCTACTTAATTTGTTATTCATCATATTCTTATTTCTTGAATCAATTATATTGTGTCATAAACCGGGAGGTGGGTGCAAAATTGGGTGAATTTTTCCGTCAAAAAGTTTGAACTATTTACAAAATGATATTTTGTTTATTTATGTTAGATCTTTAAATTGCAAGTACATTTTTAACCATATAATAAGTAAAGGTTCTTCGTCGTCCTGATGGTTTTTACGTAAATAGAATCTAAATTGAGGGCAAATAACACTTCGTTCTTCATTTCTTTTCCACGTATTAAATTATGGTCTTTTCTTCACATTTAGTTGCCTTATTTTCTTTCTTCTTCACCTTCTCTCTGCTAGCTCGCGCTCTCTCTCTCTTCGACCTCTTCCATTTTTAGTATTTTCTACTGGATTTCGACCTCTTCCCTTTACCAATTCTTTTTTGGTGTTATCGATTACTTCTCGTTACGGAGAAATTGAGAAATGGCTGATTCCTTTATTTGGCTATGGACGCAATCAGACCAGTATCTTGGCTTGGCAAACTTTAGATGGTATGTGATTTGAGGCTTTTCTATCACATGCAACAAGTTCTTTTGCAGTCATTATGTGGTATCCTTCTCTTTGCCCCTTTAGGAACACAGACTGAGCCTCGATATTGCAATTGGTCCTTATGAACGTTGTTTGGTCGAAATCCATTTTTATTTTTTATGAATTCAGGCATTGATGGAAAATAAACATTACTTATTTATTTATTTTATTATTCAATTTTGTCGGTAAATCCATTATAGATTTCCTCGGGTATGGAGGTTTTGCATCCAGATTGCTAATTAAAATGTGGGTCTACTTGTTTACATCTTTACACTGTTCATATTTTGTGATTTTTAGATTCTCAATACATGATATTATCATATTTAATTGGAATATAATGGTCTCCAAATTTTTATTTTACAGGTGAAAATTGCTCAAGTTGGGGAAGAGGGACACCGCGTCGACTGTAAGAGATTCTAAGCTTAGTTATATTGTTAAATGTTCAAGCATACTGTATAGATGCGTGTACTTTAAGAATAAATTAAATGTTAAAATTACAAAATTTAGACCTTACCATAGAAACTTTATGAAACGCTTGAAAAACAGACACCTAACAATAACAAGAATATAGGCGAAGCACAAATATAGCCGGGGGAATATTCATATCTAGGTGCTAAAGATAGTGAAAAAAAAAAAAACCTTAGGCGATGTATTGTATACAGAAAAAAGGAACCTGAATAAAAGACAACACTTTTAGAACAATATTAGGTAGAATGTGTGCGAGATCTATCTGAAAATGCTACTGCCTAACTATTCAGATCGATACATTCTTCCTTTGAACCTAACGTCATGATTCCAGACTTTATTAAGGACAAACCTTCTTCTTCTTCGGGGACAAGCCTTCTAACACATTACTGAAGATCCCTGGTAAATGAGACTAACTCTGTTTTTCGAATAGTTTTGTTGTTCTTTTCTACATGCATGTGTTTATCATTTGGGTATTAGGTGAATTGGGTAACCAACACAATTTCTCTGCACCAAGATGTTTGATTTTATGACCGAAACCGTTGGATAACTATTTTTAGTTTTTTACTATTCCTTGTTTGACAGGTGTTGTACAACAGATGATTTCTCAATTTCTTTTACTCTTTCTGGTCATCACTCAATCTAGGTGTGAGCTCATTGAGATGGTGAGTTTCCTGCAATCTTTCTTTGTCTTTTGCACTCTCTCTTGGTAAAGATCAAAATTTGGATCTTCACTCCTTCAAAGTTTATCCATCTTCCTTCTATTTGAATCTGATGTATGCTTTCTGGTTTAGCGAGTTATTTGTGAAATTTTTTTATCGCACTTGTTCTGTTGGTAATCACAATCTGATAAGTACATTGTTTTGAATAATCTCGTGCTAGAACTTTTATATGTATGCCAGTAATTGTGCATGCTTTACACATTGATTATTTTTTTTACTGTTTGAATTTTTANTTATTCCTGGATTCCTTTTAAGGCCCAGTGAATGCTGGAAATCTCACGTTTCAAGGCCCAACAAATGCTTCAAGTTAAAAAATCCTTTTTCAAAGATATACATAGGAATACGGGGAATAATTTGCAAATAAAATTTAGGTTTCGAATTAGGTGGCGGGTTCGAATTAAGAGGGTTTCCCCTTTTGTTTGAATTCGGACTTGAATTCGAGACCCGAATTTATAAATGTGAATTAATTAGGCCCCTTTAAAGACGAAAATGAATAGAAAATCTTAGTCTACTTTAGGTTAGCCATAAAATAATAAAACGAGATGAACCTCGCTAAATAAAATTGCATAGATAGCGAGGCCCTCATTAGTTGCTTATAATAACATGCTTAGAATTCGGGACGTGCCGTTTAGCGAATTTCACGGTTTTCCCTGCAAAGATGATAATCCGCTAGTCGCTATAGGCACGTTTTAATAAGTTTACCTTCTTAAATACGGGTACGCGTTTCGCGCAACCCAAATCCAAATCCTAAAACGTTGAATAAGAGGTGTTGAGGATCCGGGTGCATTTCATGTGACGTGATCCAAAGGCACGCTCTTAAACGGCGTTCACTTTCGTAAAAAAATAAATTTAAAGCGGCAAATAATCTTGAAAAATTGCACTATAGGTTTAAACGTGTATAAAAATCAGATTTTAGCCATTTATAATAATTTAAGCGACCGTGCTAGAACCACGGGATCCGGGGATGCCTAACACCTTCCCTCGGGTCAACAGAATTCCTTATTCAGAATTTCTGGTTCGCAGACTCCAATTGGGAAGTCGAATTTTCCTCGATTTGGGATTTAAATTAAACCGGTGACTTGGGACACCAAAAGCCAATCTTATCCCAAGTGGCGACTCTAAAATAAATAAATAATCCCATTTCGAATAATGTCACTTTAAATGGAAAAACTCCCTTATACATTTATCCTTCGGGGTGAGTGTGTAAAAAAGAGGTGTGACAGATAGTATAGCCCCAATTGCGGAACATGAATTCTTGGCGGTGAATGGTGAATCATGTAACATTGTACTAGCATGAGAGACTCAATGTTTGATTGTAATTGATTATGTGGAACATTCAATTACAAATAAAAATAATTATTGATAACTATGCAATAAACAAAGATATTCTAAAATTTGTAGATAAATAGATTCTTAAACTCAATGCTTATAAATATCGTCCAGAAACTAATAGGAGAATGTTTTATAGCTAGATTCCTACTGAGTTTCTTCTCCAACTCCTTAACATGGCAGGCAGGGAATTTTTAGAAAGCTTTCCTCAGCCTATAGGGGACATGGATAGCAACAACTTTCTATGTCAATTTGCCCGCAGCAATAGTCCAACAAAGCTAATCACCACTAGGAGACAGAAGGTATGTTTGCTAATTACAACATTATGTTATCTCACTAACTCTCTCACTAAATTGATGTACAGGTCCTTCAAGATGTGTTTTCGTCTCTTGGTTGTTGTTTCCCATACTAAATAAATCATGTTAAACAAATAATCTATTGTACATGAAATATTTTTCCCTTTTCCATTCTGCAATTATTTTCAAGAAATGAGTTGCGACTAATTACAAAATTTATACTTTAAAATAATAGTTACAATATGGTGCCATGGAATTATTTCTTTTCATACCTTTTAGTCTTTTTGTGCAGCCTTTTTTTTTTTTTTGAAAATCAAATACTTCTTGTATATAGTGGCAAGGGGCATGTATCAAACTTGCTTCTTATTTTTATTTGTAGGACAGATACATCAGAGTAACAAATGGCTAGGCGGCAACAAAATATTGCTGCTATAACACCGAATGGAAGTGCAATGGTAATACAACATTTGTCTAATGCTGGTTTTCATTCAGCATGTGTTTCGGCAAAGCGTTTTTTAGATGTTATGTATGCATAACATATTTCTTATGATTTTCTTAGACATATTTTTACTTGTACTCCCTTTACTATCAAAATCATTCTCTGAATTACTAGCACTAAAGGCGAATGTTCACTGTTGAAGTTAGAGGCGTCTAATGTGTATGTCACTCTTAAATTTGTTAAATTTATCAAAATTACGTAAACTTTGCACAACATAATGATCACATTGATGTTGAGCAGAATATTTGAACAATGCTACTTTTTGTAGGTACAAGAAAAGCCTATTGAATTACTTGTAATTTTTGAATCTGACATATGACTTCTACGCCTTGATAGGAGAAAAACTTCTGGACAACTTTATGGTGAATATTTACGATCCAAATAAGCCGTTGTTTAATATTAAATATTGCAGAATCATGGCGACTAAAGTGACTCTAAAACTGAAATTGAAAAGCAAAGTTATTAAGCTCAGAATTCATATTCACCCATTAAGAGGTATATTAGCTCACTTTTCTCCATTCGTAGCTTGCTGAAGGATGGTTTAAGATTCTCTCATTTATAGATAATGATTCATATCCTCACTTCCTTATGGATTGATCTAAGTAACAAGTAAACCCCATCCATGTGACTAATATGAAGATATATACACTTATATTATCATGTCTTTTGCAGCAATTTTTTTTGGATTTAGCTAAACCTTTTTATTTTCTGAAAAATCATTCTCTGTTTGTATGGTACTGATGACATACCACTAGAATCTAATTGCTGTAAAAGTATGTTCTTGATTTCTGTTTTTTTTTTTCATTTTCCAATTGAGGAGGGCTTTTTGTTATTTTGTTGATTTTTTTTGTCTTAGATTTCCTATTTCAGGCTTTCTCTTTCTGTGGGGAATGTGAAGTACTTGACTAGACTTCATTTTCGACAAATCTAGCAAGATGATCCTGTGTTTCTGCTGCTGCTTCACTCTTGGCTTATGTTTGGTCGTAGCTATTGATTTTTGGAAGATACTAAAAGAAGAAGTTGGCTAAGATGAAGGAGTAACGTGCAGTTGATGATGAAAGAGTAACATGTAATATGGATACTACATATTACTAGACAAGTTGCACCTAAATAGAGTGGGCTTAGATGAAAACTTGGTATAAGGTGGAAGAAGATGGCTGGGAGGATGGTTCTAATGATGGTAAGATTTCTGCCTTTGAAAATTTTGATTGGAAAGCTTTACCTCTAGATGATTATTTTAACATTATGCAGGCTGCATTAAAATATGATGCTTTTGTAGATGCTTGTGCAGGAGAGACATAATCATCTTTGGATAATATTGCTAAAATTGCAAGACCGGCAGGTTTGTGTATTAAGATCAATATGGGAACCCCGTTTTAGTTATGTGCTTTCTCTTTTACCTAACTTTATGTCTTCTGGAGTTTTTTTCTTTTCATTCTTTGGAAGTAATATAGTTATTTAGCCAACTATTTCTTTATATAACATATATATGTCGGACAATTGTAGCTTTCACTCTACTGTTTTTCGAATCTTTCTTCAGTCTATTTTCTTTTACTTCTCTTCCTCTTCTTTTCTAAGGGACTCTAAATTTATGAATTGGATATGTAAGCAGGTTCTGATACTTTTGTTGGGTATTGCTGCAATACTACTGCAAAAAAGAAGGATTACACCAACAAATATTTATGGAGTGAGACTTCTACCAGAAAAGCGTTTTCTTTTGTCTTTCTCATGGAAGTAGGCACAAGAATGTAATGTTGCAAAAATATATTTCATATCTTGTATAACTTCGTTCCTCAAATGTATGTACATAGTAGCATTATTATATTAATATCTAATTAGCTTAGTAGTGTTCTTCCTTTTAGTAATCTTGCTATACAGTTAAACCAGAAATTATTTCTCAGTGTCAAACCTTCTTGGTATTGTGGACCCGATGTCGGGCTTACGCCCGTGCATAGCACGGGCACCGGCCATCTAGTTTTGTTAGATGTGTTTGATTTTTAGTAATTGAGAGCAAGAATTTCAATAACAATAATAATAATACTGCAATAATAGTATTTGTGAGCGGAAATACACCAACTGGCTTGAGTCGTGCTAGGCACTGTCCTTATAAGAAACTATTTCAGCAATGTGAAATATTTTCCCAGGATTAAACAAGCCTACCTCTATTAGGGAGGATACAGGAATTAGCAAAATAGCAAATTACAAACCCAGCTATTTTAAAAGAGGGAACAAAACAAAGTAGACTATAAATGTTTTAAGGAGGAAGAAAAGGAATGAAAGAAGCAAAGTGAAAAATGTGCTGATCCATGATGTCAACTTGAAGGCCTATTTATAGGTTAATTGAGGGGCTTAGGTCATGCCAAGTGTATGACACTTGTTTATAACTTTCCATGCAAGTTGCCACATGGTTGAACACTTGACACTTGTTTATAACTTTCCATGCAAGTTGCCACATGGTTGAACACTTGTCCATTTTTTTTGGAAAATATCACAACAGTTCCCCCACATATTTTCAAAAAATTCATACAAAGAAGAGTAAGATTTGCTGGCTTTGTATGGTCCAAGTGCAATAGGTTTGGTGTCTTTTGGACTATGAACCAAACTTAGATCAATAAAGTTTAACTCACAGAATTACTGGTGAAATATAATATTTCTATGAACCAATAATTATTATTGTAAGTCGGAGATTTTATCAATCACATTTCGACCCCCGGTAATTTTGCTGTTTAACGCGGTTTTGCGCCCAATAGGCCATGCGCGTGCCTGATTATTCACGAGAGCTCTAGAGACTAGGCCAAAATCTCATAGGAGCGGCCCACTCCACTCTCATATAGGTGAATTCATCAAGTGTATATTACTTTTAAATACACCATCCATAAGGACTATGAATTTCATTAAGAGTTATAACTCAGCCTCTCAATTAGTAGCAGTTAAGCACTCTCTTTTAGTACTTCAGTGTCAATATCGACTTGTTATTACCCATATGAACCTATTTCCTGGGATCTCCAATCACATAGGTTGGGTTACCATCTTTATTGACAACATGTCGGCCTTAACCCCATCTCTTTTGAGGTTTGAAGAATTAATTTTCTTCCTACGGGTTTAGTTAGAGGATCGGCCAAATTTATCTCTGACTTCACATAGTCAATGAAAATTATTCCATCTCTCAACAGCTGTTTTATGACATCATGTCTCAATTTTATGTGTCTACTTTTACAATTATAAGATTTATTTGCCGCTTGACAATCACAATGCATAGTCACAGGAGGCAATACGTCCTTTGTTAAAGGGATATTAGCTAAGAAGTTTCTTAGCCACTCAGCCTCAGAACCAGCTAACCCAGAGCTACAAACTCTGATTCTATAGTTGATCTAGCAATGATCGTCTGTTTAGCTGATTTCCACGATATTGCATGTTGGCCCAAGATCAGTTGAAGTTTTGAAGAATGACAAACGAACTCAGTGAAGGACCAGGTTCATCTAAGGAGACACAGTTGTTATGGCCCATACACATGAGATGCACGTGAAGAAGATAAGTCCTTGAGATCAAGCAGCAATATCTTGATGAATATCTTCTGAACTGATCGAAAATATTGCATATAGGATAAGGAGTTGAAGTCTCCTTATGAAAAGAGAATTACATCCGGATCAAGAATATGGATTAGGAGTTAGAGTTGTTCTTGGACTCGAATTGTCAAAGGATCCACAATTCGAGTTCTTATCAAACTCTGATTACTAACTCTATAAATATAACGATTGTTCTCTTTTACAGGTAATGCACATAAGCAGAAGTTAAGCATATTTGAGAGCAAAAAGATCAAGTCTGATTTGCAAGCAACATATGCGAGATACAAGTGTGCACGTCTGAAGCTACATGAACTAAGATAGAAGAACCAGTTTCATCATTGTGTTTATTCTAAGTCTAGTTCAATTGTAGTAGGTTTTCATATTGTACCTTTCAGCTTTCTTAGAAGCAATTGTACTAGGTACTCTGAGTATTCAAGTTAGAGTTAACTTGAAAGTGTCGCAACAGTTGAGGCTATGTGCTACACTGGGATTAGAGTTAATCCTTAGGTTTACAAAGAGTTTTGTAAATGCAGTTTTTGGCTCAGTGATTTTAGTGGAGTTTGGGAAAATCCTACTGAGTAGTAGGTCGTGGTTTTTTCACCTTTTGAGCCAGGAGTTTTCCACGTAAAAATCTCTGTGCACTTTACTTTCAGTATTTATTATTCCGCAAACTGCTGTAGTTAGAACACTTAGAAGAACCAGGTTCTTCTAACGCGAAAATTAGGTACCACACAAATCACCCCCCTCTTGTGTGGCATTGACGTTTAGAACATCATTGCACCACCACCAAGGGTGAATACATGACCACTTGTGAATTTTGTCTCATCTGAATCAGAGATCCAGTTTGCATCACTGTACCCTTCTAAAGTAGAAGGAAATCCACTATATAGGGTACCATAATTCATGGTTCCTCTCAAATATTTTATTAGTCTAGCTAATGTAGACCAATGCTCTTTGTTGGGATTATGAGTATATCTACTCAGTCTACACACTGCATAGGCTATATCAGGCCTTGCAAAATTCATTAAATGCATCAGACTCCTAATAATCTGAGCATATTTAGACTGAGCAACTGGATCGCCATTATTCTTTTTCAACTTAGAGTTAGCATCAAAAGGAGTGCTGTCACGATCCGAATTTTCCGCACTCAGGGTCGTGATGGCGCCTACTCGTGGTAGCTAGGCAAGCCTACTCATTTACTCTTCCATTGCTAACAAATCTTTTAACAATTTATAACATCAATATAGAACATGAAATTTAATAATAATAGCGGAAGTCTGAATCATGATCTAAATCAAAATGCGGAACAGTCAACAATAGCCTCTACCCAAGACTAGTGTCACATTACTCACGAACTGCTAAAAGTTTACTAAATACAAAGGTCTGAAAGAAACATATAAATTGTTTGTCTCGAAAACAAGGAGGCAACAATATAGAAAGAAAATAAGGGAGAGACGCCGGGCCTGCGGACGCCTGCAAGGCTACCTCGGTCTCGTGATAATGAAAGCCTGCTCCCGTGCTAATGCTGCTGCTGCTCCTCAAAACCTGGACCTGTGCAAAAATGCACAGAGTGTAGCATCAGCACAACCGACCCCATGTGCTGGTAAGTGTCTAGCCTAACCCCGGCGAAGTAGTGACGAGGCTAGACTGGACACCACATAAACCTGTGCAATTATAAATATACAACGGAATCGAAATACCAAACAATTAACAATATGGGAGGGGAAACAGGGGAGATGGCAATATTAACAGTAATCCAGAGTAACAATCTAAAGCAGTCTAAATTTACGATGAACAAGGAACCAATACTCAATATAAACACATTTGTATCAATAACTATTGCGGCGTGCAACCGGGTCCACAATTACCATTGTTGCGGCGTGCAACCCGATCCACAAATACCACTGTTGCAGCGTGAAACCCGACCCATATCATTTATCATTTATCATTTATCATTGTTGCGGCGCGCAACCCGGTCCTCATATCTCATTTAACATTGTTGCGGCGCGCAACCCGATCCTCAAATATCATTTATCATTTATCATTGTTGCGGCGTGCAACCCGATCCATATCATTCGACAGTCTAGCTCCCCAAACAATAGTCACAAATAAGGGGCATAAAATTAAACAAATATTGGAAGGAATCCCGACAAGGGAAAAGAAACAAACAAGTTCAACACAACGTCCCGACAAGGGAAATACCAACAACGATTTCTCTTTCTTTCATTTCATACGTTATAAACCACTTTACCATTTTGAGCCAACGCTCCAAAGAATCAAGTCATTTCATATACTTTCAATATTCGTATCACAATTCGAGCCAATGCTCCTAGGAATCAAATGATCATTCGTTCACATGTTATTCACAACATATAGAAATCCTCCAATAAACACGGAAATCACCACCTGCGACGACCCAAAGGGTCATCACCTGTTTTATCTTTCATCCCGTGCTTCCGAGGCCTTGAAAATCTTATTTTTACTTGCCTCGATTTTCGTGCGCAGTCCGGGCGCGTAGCCGGAAAGATTATATGTTAAATTCTGTGAAAAATTTCAAAATGTGGCTTTAAAATGATTAAAGTTGACTTTGGTCAACACTTTTGGTAAATGGACCCGGACCCGTGATTTGACGGTCCCGAAGGGTCCGTAGAAAAATATGGGACTCGGGCATATGCCCGGAGTCGAATTCCGAGGTCTAGAGCCCGAGAAAAGAATTTTTCTGTGAAATTGTTTTTCTGAAATTTTTAAGGAAAATGGAAATGAAAATTGATTAAAAGACTGTGGTATCGGGCTCGTATTTTGGTTCCGACGCCCAGTACAAGTCTTATATATGGTTTAAGCGCTTTCTGTGAAATTTGGTCGAAATCGGACGTCATTTGACGTGTTTCGGACTATAGGTTCCAAATTTGAAAGTTTATGAAACTTAGAAGAAAACCATGTGATTTGAGGCTTGATTCTATGTATATGATGTTATTTTGGCTATTTGAACGCACGGTTAAGTTCGTAGGATGTTGTTGAGTTAGTGTGTGTATTTGGTTAGGAGCCCCGAGGGCTCGGGAGTGTTTTCGGAGGTGTTCGGGGTGGTTTTGGACTTAGGAGAAGGATCAGATTTTTCTGCATTTTCTCAGACCCTTTTTGTTCTTCGCGAACGCGGCCTCAGGCTCGCGTTCGCAGTGCTTTGGTGTCCCCCCCTCTTTCGCGTTCGCGGCCCCCTTCCTGCGTTCGCGTAGTTCTTTTAAACCTTTCACCGCGTTCGCGTCTACCTCCTCGCGTTCGCGTAGACCAACCCCCAG